GCTAAGACATTTGGAAAAATTTTTGCTTCTGAATCACAAGCAAACACAATAATTCAACAATCTTCTCTGAGTTATTCAAGGAACTTCGGTGCACTCAGAAGCGGAAGATCGGGGCGATGAAATCAATGAATTCTCTGAGCACTCTGTTCTCCTAATTATATTTCATTTGCCAAATGGAGGCAGGGGAGCTCCGTCTGACCACTGGGGGACATCTCTTGCGGGAAGTCTGGAACCAGCTGATTTAGGGTTTCTGGGTGACACTTGGGTTTTCTTATCATCTTAGTTCTGTTCCCATAATAGAGCTAAGTGTCATCCAGGAAAAGGCTTGCTCCCACAGCATCTCCTCGTGGACCGCTAATTGCGACAGCCTGTGGAGGAGAGGATGCTTCACCTAAGGACCGGCCTGGTCGTCCCTAATCATCTCAGTGTTCTCAGGCGGCAGGCCCCCTCACCGTGCGGCGTCACCCCGTGCTTGCTAAGGGGAGCTTTGGCTCCTGCCCTCTGCCCTCTTGGACCACGCTCGCTGAAGCTCTGTGCTGGAGTGCAGTCGCTGCTGACCTGCCTTTGCCTCAGCCCTTCTCTGGGGGGAGAAAGGACTTTGTCATTCATCACAGATGGCCACTTTTTATCACTCACTGCAGTTCAGGGCTGGGGGGTCATCTTCAGCCTGGCAGGAAAGCAGACCTTGGGTTAACGCCGGCCTCTCAAGGGACACGGATCACCAGTGTCTCTGGAAGGGGCCACTTCTATTGATCTGAGAAAGGCACCCTGTATTCACCACTTCACTGGTTTTTACTAAATTGGCAGTCATAGGAGAGCCCTTTCCTCAGGGGAACAGGTACCTTCATGAGTAAGAACAAAGAGCAGAGACAGGGCAGGCTGCTTTTCAGCCCTCCTGCGTTTCCTACCACTCTGTTCTACCAGGCATTTCAAATTCAGAGAGAGAGCTTCTGTGCCCACGACTAGATCAAGACTGACACGCAGAAGGTGCTCACTACCTAGATGTGAAACCAATGGCGTTGTCTACACAGGGAGCCATATCTTCTTCCATCCTGCAGAGCAGACTTGAAAAACACTGCCTTGCAGAGGGGTGTTAGGGGGTCGGCCACAGCGTGCTCAGTCCTCACAGCAAACTTGGGATGGGGGGACCGTTATCCTGTTTCACAGAGGAGAAAATTCCGGTTTAGGAAGGAGGTGGGCTCTCCTCCACGGCAGGGCCGGGCCTGGGCCCCAGGGACCTGCAGTCTCCCTGCCCGGCATCTGCCCCGCCTCTAGCGGGGTCCAGAGCTCAGCACACACGAGACTGAGTCAACACGGCTGGTGGTGCTGGGAATCAAAGCAAACAGGGTTCCTCTTTCCCCCCCTTCTTGCCAACTGCCCCATTAACAGAAAAACCTTTTACGCACTCATCTGGAAACCTGGCCTTTTCCCTCCCTGAGCAAACTGAGATGACCAGGAGGAATGTGCTCCAGGGTGGAGGTGAGGGGGACCCCAACACACTGGATCCTGCTCATACAGCAAAGAGTGAACATGAGAAGATCAAAAATGCCCCTCTGGCCCGGCCCAGCAGCCCCTGTGGTGGCCAACAGGGGCCCCTTTCAGCTGCTCCGCCAGCTGCTGCTTCCCGTAATAGCTCATGTGGTTACTCCATCTACACTCCATTCCTGACATCCAGGCTTCTTGGAACAGTTTACACTTTCAGCTTTAGACCACCTCTTAGGGATGGAGGAAAACGTCCTCGGGCACCATGCCCCTCTCCCCCACCCCCATAAGGACTTACTTGTGAATAAATACATTGTTAGCTTTAAGAAAACTTGCGATTCTGAGCAGAACTGCTCAAAATTGCCCAGCTGTTGGTGTGAACTCAACAGACATTTATTGAGGCCCTGTTATGTATCAGGCACTTTGGGGACTCAAAGGTGAAATGACACCGGCAGTTCCCAGGCTGGCAGGGAGATAAGGCATGAATATAAGTGATTAGCAAACACCACCGTGTGTGATAACTGCCAAGGAAAGTGCTGTGGCTGCAGGAGGCAGGGGCGTCTCTGACCCAGGAAGTGTCCCGGAAGATCACCGACGCTCCGGGAGGGTGGCAGTGGAGCTGACTTGGGGCTTTGCAGGAGTCTGACAGCTGGGGGAGGGTGGGGAGGGCAGGTGGAGGGGGACGGAGGGAAGAGGAAGGGGCAAAGGGCTGGGAGGGAGGCACCAAGGGAGGGAAGATGGGGTGACTTCTGTGGAAGCTGGAAGGTCCATTCTGTGTATATTTTTTATTTTGTGAAAAATACTGCTAAGCATACGCAAATTTCTTTTTTTACGTTTTATGCTTTCTGCTCTTTACCCTTGGGGGCGGCAGGGTTTGGACCAGAAGCATCTGTGAATTATGTGGTCATTCAGATTTGAGTAGAAAAAAATTCTAAACAGAGAAATATTACAAGAGTACTAATCTTGCAGCTCAGTTTGGAAAGTCACCAGTTGGTAACATTTGCCTCACCTCTCTCTCTCTCTACCACATTGTTATTGTTGTTGCCCAACTGTTTGAAAGTAAGTTGCCAGCGTGAAGACTCTTTTTTTTTTAAAGATTTTATTTATTTTTTTATTTTTTCCCCCCAAAGCCCCAGTAGATAGTTGTATGTCATAGCTGCACATCCTTCTAGTTGCTGTATGTGGGACTCGGCCTCAGGATGGACGGAGAAGTGGTGCCTCAATGCGCACCCGGGATCCGAACCCGGGCCACCAGCATTGCAGCGCGCGTACTTAACCACCAAGCCACAGGGCCGGCCCACCAGCGTGAAGACTCTTGACCCTGGATACTTCATAGTATCTCTCAAAAACAAGGGTTTCCTTCTGCATAACCCCTGGGGCCATGATCAACTCAGGAAATATAACGAGGATACAATGTTATTATCCAGTCTACACAGTCTATATTCAAATGCCCACAATTGTCCTAGTAGCGTCCCTGACAGCAACTTTTCCCTGGTCCAGGACCCGACCCAGGGTCACAAGGTGCTCTTAGTCCCACGTGGCCTGTGAGGTCACGGGACAGTGGAGGACAGGAGCGGTCCTGGTGCTGGCACCCGCAGGACAGAGTCCTTCCCCACCCCTGGGCTTCTCTTCGGGTGTACGGCTCAGGTCCTTTTACTCTGTGGATGAACTCCTGTGGGAGTAAGCAGAGGCTATTTTCCCCCAGAAAGTCCATTGTTAGTAACATCCTGGCCTCACGTCTTGGGCCTCACCAGGCCTATAGAGAGTGCACAGGGTTCAGGAGGTGACGGTCAGGATGGGGCAGGGACAGGGGCAGGGCAGACTCCTCAGCGAGGCCAGGGAAGCGAGGAGCCCGGACTTTAGGTCTGAATGCAGTTCTGTCCTGCCTTGGGATCCGTGTCCCAGGGGATGGTGTCTTCCTACATCAGTCAGCTCCACGGAGGGCTCCGTGAGCTCAGAGGCTGCCTGAATCTCTCATTCATTCCCGTAACCCCAGCTCCCAACGTGTTGACAGCCGTTGAACAAAAGGGGGCCAGCCTTAGCAGGCCTGGCAAATGCTGGAGAGAAGCCTTGAGGAGCAGGTACTTGCCGGGTGCGGTTGCCCTCGTCCTGGGGCTTCAGGAGTGAGACTGCCCCAGGCGTGCCCTGCTCCCGCACCTCCACAGCTCACGGAGCCACCTCTCACCAGCTTTCTCCTCATCCAAACCCGCGCTCTAGCTTCCTCTCTAGGGCTCCAGTTCCCTCTTCTGCAGATCTGGCATTCCGCTGTCATCTCCTCCAGGTGGTGGGGAAAACACACACAAGAGCAAAGCCTGCCGCCCGGCCCGTCGCGGACATCCTGGGCAGGATGGCAAGCTGGCAGTTGGCCAGGCTGCCCTGCTCTGCCACCGGGCAGGGGGGCTTGCAGGCTGAGGGGAGGGGCCCGCGGCTGGTTTGGGAAGCTGTGTCTTGGGCACCCTGTGCAGCCAGCCCCTGCCGGAGTCCGTTCGGTCTGGGAAAGGGAACCAATGGGAAACGATGAGCCTCCAGACAACGGAGCAAGGAGCCAGGAAGGGTGCGAGGGGGCAGCCAGGCCCGGGCCCGAGCAGAAGGCTGGGCAGGACCTCGACAGAACTTGCAGAAAGAGTGGGAATTGGCACTAAGGGAGAGGAAGGGTGAACACCCGTGTGAGCGTGTACGATGGCAAAGTGCAGGCGCTGCCAGGAACCCAACGGTCCAGCGTGAAGGTGTCACCCAGAACCCGCACAGCACAGGCTTTCTGAGGGCCAAAGTCTGGAAAAGGGGCTAGGAAGGTAATTTGGGGCCAGGTTGGGAAAGGCCATGATGGTGAGTCATGGGGTTTAGATTTCTCTGTCGTTTGTGGTTTCCCAAACTCACGTTACCTTTACAATTCCGGCCAAGTTCAAAAAGGAAACTTTCTCTCTTGAACATTTTACTGTTATAAATACTAGTTGTTTTTTCTATTAACATTAAACCATACAACATAAAAATAAAAATTGGCTACCCAAGTCCCCCCCAAAGTCACCTCAGTGCTACCAGTGGCTTCCAGACCACTCCTTAGGAAACACAGCTAAAGACAAAGGGAGCCATGGCAGGTTATTAAGAGAGGGTGGGAGATGTCTTACTGGTTGTGTGGCTGTGGTGGTCACTTCATGCTCTGGGATGTCATGGCCTCATCTGTCAAGTGATGGGTTTAGAGAAAAGGATTTCTAATAATACACCTGGCTTGGATGGGGAAAGCTCTGTGGAGGTGGTCCTGGTCACCCAGTGAGCTAGGAGCCATGGCTCAGTTGTCACACTGTGTGCCTCACTAGCTGGGAGCCCAGAGCCAGCTCTGGTGCCCCGAGTCCACCATGGCAAAGCCTACGGCTGGTACTAGCCCTCCAGGCACTGTGCACAAAGGCAACCTTTGGTCTTGAACTCTAGGAAGTGACCAGGCAATATTCTGTGTTGGGAGAGGAAACCCCCCCCCCCCCCCCAGCCGCTTCACAAGGATGATAGGCAGAGAGCAGAGAAGGGCGGGGGCTGGGCCTCTGGGCTGGACATGCTTAGGTCACACTGGGAGGATAACTTGGTCTGCTGGTACCATCACTGCGATGACCAGAGTTGTGCTGGGCTCACACTGGTGAAGGGCGGCTCTCCCAGAGTCTGAGCATTCCGTGAAGATCTTGCACTTGGGCGCAAAGCAAGGATGCGTGAAATCGTCCACATTCAGATCGGCCAGTGTGGTAACCAGATTGGAGCCAAGGTAAGGCAAGTTGGATGCCTAGTACTGGCTTTACCATGGTCCCTAGGCGTAGCCAACTAAGAGAATACCAAGTTAGCAGGGAAGACAATGAGCCTCGCAGATTGCATGCACTTGCTGAATATTTGATTTATTAAACATTGCCTTTAGTTAAAGAGACACAGGAAACAGTAAAAGCTTAAAGGGTCAATTTAATTCACGTCAATTTTGTCGATAATGACATGTATATAATGCACACGTCAACCATTTTTACTTTTATCACCTCAGCAATGAACTTTACATATCTAAAAACAGTAATTTGGCTCAAAACAGTTTTCCAAAGATTGTTGGGAAACTTTTTTTTTTTACATATACTTTTTTTGGTGAGGAAGATTGGCCCTGAGTAACATCTGTTGCCAATCTTCCTCTTTTTGCTTGAAGAAGATGGTCCCAGGGCTAACATCTGTGCCAATCTTCCTCTACTTTGTATATGCGATGCTGCCACAGTATGGCTTGATAAGCAGGGCGTAGGTCCGCACTGGGGATCCAAACCCGTGAACTTAGTCACTATGCCACCAGGCTGGCCCCGGGAAACTTTTTATACTATATCAGTAAGATATCTTTTCCTCCTCTCCCATGTTTATGTTTTAAAGTTAAAAAAGATCAATTACTGTTCCATTCAGTATGCAACAGAAAATTAAAGAGGGAAACCTAAAAGTTTTTGTGTCCTGTAGCAGAAATAATTAAAATACTCTCTGAAAGACAGATGAGTTTTTCTCCCCATCCCCCTCTTAAATTTTTCTACCAAGTACCTGGTTCAATTGGCTGAAACTAGGAAAACAGAGCCCAAGGTTTCCCATCCTAATTGTAAGATGACCACTCCTGCTGTGGAACAGCTATCTGATTGTTCTCTTTGCTGTTTTAAAATTACTTTTACTAGTACGAATTGTACTAGTAAATTTTTAGTCTTTAAATTTTAGTCTTTAAAAGTTTTTAAAATTATGGTAAAACACACACAGCATAAAATTTACCATCTGAACCACTTTTAAGTGTACAGTTCAGTAGTGCTAAGTATATTCACATTGTTGTGCATCTCCAAATCTCCAAAATGCCTTTCATCTTGCAAAACTGAAGCTCTGTCCCCATTAAACACTAACGCCCCATTCCCCTCCTCACAGCCCTTGCCAACCACCACTCTACTCTGTCTCTATGAATCTGACTGCTCTAGGGACCTCATGTAAGTGGAATCACACAGCATTTTTCCTTTTGTGACCAGCTTATTTCACTTAGGAGAATGTCTTCAAGGTTCATCCATGTTGTAGCAGGTGTCAGAATTTCCTTTCTTCTTAAGGCTGAATAATAGTCCACCGTATGGATAGAGCACATTTTGTTTATCCATTTATCTGTCAATGGACACTTGGATTATTCTGGCTATTGTGAATAATGCAGCGGTGAAAAAACTAGTCTTTTAATGCAGGTGTTTAAAATCTGGGGCAAAGAATATTACTGCTTGAAAAGAAGCTGTCATCCTTCCACCCTACAGAGATACAACGTTTGTAACTAAAACACACAGAGAAGTGGGAGGCACGAGCCCCCACTGCTCTGAAGTTGGAAGATAATATAGAGGGAGTGCCGGGTCTAGATAGGGTCTTAGCTTTTACTCCAGAATTGTGTTGTCTAGTGGTTAGAGCCCCAGCAACTACTTATTATTTGGGGCCAGAAGAACTTTAAGGCACATTTAATTTGTGATGTCATAGAACTTAAATTTATTTATTCTTCCACACTCTGAACAGTGCTGGTAATTTGCTATAAAATAGTCTTGTTAATAAGACCACGGCCAGAGCAGAGCCATCATTTATAAGATATGGTTGGGAAAACACTCTTGGGGATTTTAACATAAATGAATATATTTTCATTACATTTTAATATGTGCTTCTCCAGAGGAATAAAAAGGGGCCATCTCAGTAACTGTTTCCATGTTAAGAGCCTGGCACGTATCTATATTAATAAATACAGTATATGTGATTGAAAGTGTAATGTGTTTCAAATAGCTACAGGAGAACAGCTATGCATAATTTTGAACTGTGTGCATAACTGATAATCAAAAATGCACATAGCTTAAAATCATGCATATATGTCCTAGTTGTGGGCTTTTTGGAAAACTGTGAAAATAAATCCCCAAAGTGCAATGAGATATTATTGTGAAATCAGATAAGAATTCAGTCTATTCTCATTTAGTGGGATCTATACTTTACAAGCTTGAAGCACTACAAGGCAAAATTAGAGATACGCTGATGTGAAATTCTAAAACAGCTTTAATGTATACAATGGCCTGAATTTAACAGGAGCAAAATCCAATTTAATATTTTATGTGTTGACATTTTATTTAAGGAGTTTAGGTGGGTATAAAATGCAGTCTTCACATTCATGTTTAGTAGAGGCAAAAAGTCAATTGTGCCATGGAGCAGGCATTTATGAAAAGGGCCCAAAAGAATGTCTTGGGAAAGGATAGTCAGGCAGACCCAGGAAAGCAGGCCCAGGAGCTCTCATTTCCTATCTTTCTGCTCAACCTGCTGGCTCACTGGCACCAGCATGGCCTTTTTTGGGGTCACTCTACACTGACCTTCCCTTTTTCTGCTTTCAGTTCTGGGAGGTGATTGGTGAAGAGCACGGGATCGACTCAGCTGGCAACTACCACGGGGACAGCTCTTTGCAGCTGGAGAGGATCAGCGTGTACTACAACGAGGCCCACGGTAGGACACCATGCTCTGGTAGCAGTGGTCACCAGCCCTGGGAACACGGTCAGAGAGAGGAGGGCCCACGAGACCGGAACATCACATGAGTAATGTCCAGGCAGAGCAGCAGAATTCCGAGAGACAGGTCCCCAAGCCCTGTCTGAGGCAAGGCCTGGCGAAGTCACTGAGTGGGTGCATGAATCTTAACAGAAGCAGCTTAAGCACCAACTTTCCTTCCTGGTTTTTAAATGAAAACCAGAATCATTTCCGATAGGAACAGAATCTCTGTCATTGACAATACAACAAACAAAATAGACAATGAGGGAGAAATTTTTAAAGGTATTTTACAGATTTGTGATTGTTGTTGGGGTCAAGGATATGATTTCAAGTCTCTTTCTACCAAAGACACCTTCTAGAATACCTTTTTTTTTTTTCTTGACCAGTATCACGAGGTTCTAATTTTGATGAAACATTAACTTTAAAAAAAACAACAATTTGCTGACTTCTTCCTGTTTTTCTACACAGGTAAAAAATATGTGCCCCGAGCAGTCTTGGTGGACCTGGAACCTGGGACAATGGATAGTATCCGATCTAGCAAATTGGGAACCCTCTTTCAACCAGACAGTTTTGTCCATGGTAGGTTTTTCTGGAAGGTTCCATCAGGAAGAGATGAGGATGCCTCCTAGTGGTGCCCTTTTCTCTCCACCTTTTCTTCCCCGGGCTTCTCTGGGCCAGGTGACCATGACTCCTTTCTGCCACAGGTAACTCAGGGGCTGGCAACAACTGGGCGAAGGGCCACTACACGGAGGGAGCGGAACTGATGGAAGCCGTTCTGGACGTGGTGAGGGGCGAGAGCGAGAACTGCGACTGCCTGCAGGGCTTCCAGATCGTCCACTCCCTGGGCGGGGGCACAGGCTCTGGCATGGGCACTCTGCTCATGAACAAGATCAGGGAGGAGTACCCGGACCGCATCATGAACTCCTTCAGCGTCATGCCCTCCCCCAAGGTGTCCGACACGGTGGTAGAGCCCTACAACGCTGTCCTGTCCATCCACCAGCTGATCGAGAACGCAGACGCCTGCTTCTGCATCGACAACGAGGCCCTCTATGACATCTGCTTCCGCACCCTGAAGCTGACGACGCCCACCTACGGCGACCTCAACCACCTGGTGTCCTTGACCATGAGTGGCATAACCACCTCCCTGCGCTTCCCAGGGCAGCTCAACGCAGACCTGCGCAAGCTGGCGGTGAACATGGTCCCCTTCCCCCGCCTGCACTTCTTCATGCCTGGCTTCGCCCCGCTCACGGCCCAAGGCAGCCAGCAGTACCGGGCCCTCTCGGTGGCCGAGCTCACCCAGCAGATGTTTGACGCCCGCAACACCATGGCTGCCTGCGACCCCCGCCGCGGTCGCTACCTGACGGTGGCCTGCATCTTCCGGGGTAAGATGTCCACCAGGGAAGTGGATGAGCAGCTGCTCAATGTGCAGACCAGGAACAGCAGCTGCTTTGTGGAGTGGATCCCCAACAACGTCAAGGTGGCGGTCTGCGACATACCACCCCGGGGGCTGAACATGGCTGCCACCTTTATAGGCAACAACACGGCCATCCAAGAGCTCTTCAACAGGGTTTCGGAGCATTTCTCGGCTATGTTCAGAAGGAAAGCTTTTGTGCACTGGTACACTGGTGAGGGGATGGACATAAACGAATTTGTGGAAGCCGAAAGTAACATCCATGATTTGGTATCCGAGTACCAACAATTTCAAGATGCCAAAGCAGTTCTAGAGGAAAATGAAGAGGTCATGGGGGAGGCGGAAATGGAACCAGAAGATAAGGAACATTAACCACGAGAAGCTGTGTGAGCCTCAGCTGCAGGGTGTGGTCACTTACACAACAGTTTCTCTGAAGATGAGTGTTAGCCTGCAGCAATCCCAAGCCTATTCTGCACTGCAGCACAGTGAGCCGTACCCACACGGCCACTCAGCATCTGCTCTGACACAGGACTGTGGGGGGAGCGGGCTGGGAAATAACTGATAGGCATTAGGGTCTTCTGCTGGCATTTACTAACCTTGAAGAATTTGATATTCAATGCACACTGTATTAACTTTTTTTTAAATAGCAAAGCGAATTTACCATAAAGCACTCCCTTTGTATAAGAATGTTTGTTGGGTATTTACTGTATGCATAGCACCATGCCCAGCACCAAAACGATGCATGTGAACGTGTGGGGAGCCACCACTGTTGACATGAACTTGTCAACTCATTAGCAGCACTGATAAGCACCCTGGAAACCTTACTTGGCATCCTCTGGGGCTGCTCTTACTTCAGGTTCTCTCTTAACACACGATGCCCAGCATCCTACCTTCTCATCCTTGCCAGCTTCCAGAAAAGCCAGGTGACTAATTGGTATGTGGGGAGCTACCCAGCCAATGTAAATGTGAGTCAGTGTCCACTAGTAAATGGTGTAGGGCTGTGTACACTTCAGCGTACCAACAGGAAAGGAAAAAAGGGAGGAAAGAAAAGTGGCAGTCTTTTCCACAAAAATATCCAGCCAAAAAGTAAAAAAAAAAACAAGCAACCAACATATCTGAATAGCTTAGCTTTTAACACATATATTTGTATACTTTAAGTTTCTGATTAGTGTTAGGTTCTGGGAACTCATTAATCATCATCTTTGGTTTTCCTTGTAAAGACTATTCCAAAATGCCCTTTTCACTCACATTCAGTGATCACCTTCTGAAAACGCTCTGTAGCCTCTTTGCTCTTTCAGAAAGGGCACCCCGTAAGCTCGGCAACCATTCAAATGTAGGAATTAAGCAGCAACGGCTGCAGTGTCCTTCTCAGTTACGGAGGACGTTGTCTCATTAGGGAACTTTTAAAGTTCAAATTAATTTGCAGAAGTTGCCATAAATGTTTGCATGATGACACAGCTTTAACCATTACATGATTTTAATCTGCTCACATTACAACAGGACCAAATACACAAGAGTGTAATCAAATCATCCATGACTTCTTAATTACAGTTTACCTATTCCTGACATACAGCACTGCCACCCCTTCCAGTACCATGAGGGTTTTAATGGCCTTCCAGAATTACCACTGAGCTATACTATTCGATCCATGGATAGCTAGTAAAGGGAAGACACTCCAACCCTCACTGCAGGAAATATTTACATGCAAGCAACTAGGTTCTCATCTCCCGATTTACTTTTGTAATCTGCAATAATAAGGGAGCAGGTAGATGGATGACAGTAGCTCATTGTGAGAAACTTCACTCTTTTCACATATGCATCATGAGGAAATAACTAAAATATGTACCAAGAGAATCTTGCTGTCGGTATCATGATAAGCCTTCTATTTACAAAATTAAAAAAAAAAGCTTTTTAAACACCTTCTACTTGTGGTTCAAGAAGCACTAAAAACAAAAGCAGATATTTAATAAGAAACTGCACCTTTATACTCTCATCAGTTTGAAGTTCATAACTTCCTTAGATGCTAAAAAGACTTACAACTTATGGTTATGTAAGAATGTATACACGTGCTGCCTCTAGCACTTTCCTTCTCAAATCTAAAAAGGCAATTAAATAGATGCAAGGAAGGACAGAGATCTCAAGTAAAAAAAAACTTCCGCTGATTTATATTACTGTAAAGATTTTTGTTTGCTCAATAGTAATCATTAATGTACAAAGAAATTTCAATTTTAAATGGCCAAATTGCTTTATTTCAGATTAAATAAATTCCTTTTCTTGGATCCTAACCGCCCAGACTGATTAATTTGAGCAGTTAAAAATATTTCAAAATGCATCTCAGCATCCTACTCTTTCATATGGTAGAAATAGATTAAAAAAAAAAAAAAACAAAAAACCCTAGAAACCAAAAGAAATCTGTCCCCTGATTTTGAAGAGCGTATTCCTTTAGTGGTATGGTTGCTACGGCGACACGGGTCTCAGAAATTGAGAGAAGGATCAGAATTTTAGAGCTTGTCCGGTTCCTTCATCTCACATACAAGAACACGGCACAAGTGAAGAGATTAACACCTCTCTCAAAAATCACCCAACTGGTTAGTGAAACACCCACGACTAGGTGAGATCAGGGTCCCCTGGTAATCTGGATACAGTAGTTCTACGGGTTACTGGTTACCCAGCAGGGCTGGTGCAGGACGTTTATTTCATCACAGTCTCAGCTCAGGAATTTTTTTAATCACAGAGGAAGAGCCTCAAAGAATTTTTGCTGGGCAGTAAATCTGTCTTTTATTCGGTTCATCCTTTCCATGTTGCAAGCCCTGTCCCTAAATCTCACCTTTAATTAGCCCATCTGCCTCCCTAATAAATGACCTATCTCTAAATTATTTGGCTGGAAATAATTTAACCCTTTGTCCCTCAGTTACTTGATTCGTCTGGTATCAAAAAGGCCCCAGAGCCTTGTGATTCATTTATTCCTGTCCCTGGAATGAGAGACGCTTCCTAGTACCTTAATCTTGGGGATGAAGCACTGACAACTGAGATGCCTTGACTTCAAAACAGCAGGACAACAGCCCCGAGGCAAAGGGCTCAGGGGCTCTTAAGCTGCTACTGTCCAGCATCCCAGCTCTCCCACTCACTCTCGGGCTCCTCCTTACATGTACTGTGCTGAGAATTAAATAAAACCTATAGGTCAAGTGTCCAGGGGCAGGAGGGCATCTCCAGAAGCCGAGAACAAAGACATTTTCCTGGGCTCCTCCTTAGCATTGCTGAATGGCCGTAAGTTCTTGAAAGCTTAAGTACCACGGTGAGAACTAGTCCTGGTGCAGAAGATGAAAAGTGTTTCAAAATTTCCTGTTCAGATTAATTTTCCATTCTCCAAAAACAGTTAAAATCAAGCAGTTAACTTTGCAATGGGGTTCTACTCAACCAAATGCTTCCAAGTTTCAAAGAAAGATAAAAACAAAACACTTGCAACAATTCTTTGTCCCTAAATATTTAACAAATAAACGAATCACCATGCAAACACCATCGAACTGCTGAAATCATCGTGCCCGAGACCTGCAGTCAAGAATCTTAGATTTTAATTTCAGCTTGGCCATCAACTCAATAAGCAAGTTATTGAACAGCTTTGCCTCATTTCCTATGAGAAATGCTTCCAGAAGATAAAGATTCATTTATAAAAAAACATGAAAAGCATTTTGTGCTTAGATGAATTCCAACATTAATAGTTCTTCTCTATAGGTTTTAAGTACAGAATAAAAAATGTGTGTTTTTTCTTCTAATCTATTAAGAATTATTTTCTTTTAGGCTACTGGCTAAGCAGCACTACCTAGAAATACTGTTGCCTGCACAAGAGGATGAGGCCGGCGGATAACAGCCCACCCACTACTCTGACACGGCTTCTGCAATTCAAAGATAATGGACAAGAGAGGCTCAGTGACAGAGTCTAATTTCGTCAATTCAAGTCATAGAAAAGAGAACTTTCTATTCAGAGACATTTTCAAAATGTTTTCTGTATCCCTAAGAGCCCTAGACATTAAACCTGCTCCTCCCCGCCCCTTAAGGCACCCCAGTTCATATGGTCATAATCCTGCAGTTGTGCAGATAGTTTCCATAAAAAAATAAAGGTCCAATGGAAACCAAAAACCAGCAGCAAGAGTGAACCATACTTCAATTTATTGGCATTGTCAATCTATGAGCAAGACAGGTATTTTTTTTTCCCATGAAGTGAGATCATTTTCAATCTGCCATAACATGTGCCCACACATCTTCACCTTGAAAATGGAGAATTTCAAGCTTTAGTCAGGGTCTAGGAGGAAAAAAGAAAAGGCAACAGTTGCTAGTCCTTTGTGTTTTCTTAAGAATCCAACATGAATATGGAAAATAACTTTCTTATAATGAACTGTGTAATATAACTGTGGCTTCAATTCACTCGGGGGATGATGAACCCTGGCTCTCGGCTGTTAACAAGCTCACGTACATGGCCTTAACCGAACAGGCACTTCTCTGCTAAGTAAAACCAAACACCCTCCTAGCAATAAAGAAACTACTTCGCCTTTAAAAGACAGTAAAATCTGCCCCTGTGCTGATGGGGTGGGGGCTGCATCCCCTGCAGGACATATGGAGTTGTCAACATTTTGATTATGGGAGCTGGACACTACTTCCTGACCCCAAGGACATCACAAGGTCAAGAGAGTTAGATGCGGAGTCTGGCTTAGCTATGCTGCAGAGGCTAAGAAATTCTCTCAGTTACCTCATTGTTAAAACAAAACACCCCGACACAAAACCAGGTCTCATCACTCAGATCATGAGATTAGACAGAGAGCCCCTAGAAAAGGGCTAAATTCAAAACACTGAATCTCTAGACTCATAATAAAATATTTACTAATTCAAAATGAAAAGGAAAAGAGCTTAGGGGAGACAGTTCCAATAAGTAAAATTGCTCATAACCACAAGCTGCCAAAGGACGAATATTTATCACATTTCCTTGCTACTGTGGGTCTGAAGCTTTTTTAAAGCAAAACAAGAAAATTAAATCTGAAAAACATCTCTCTGGTAGTTTGCCTTGCTTATCTCTGAAATAACAATGTCAAGAAAGTAGTTTAGAGATCAAATCACTTTAGTAGTTTGGAGCACAAAGTCTGAAACTATCAACTGTATAAACCTGTCTTTTATTGCATAGAATCTAACTTTACATTGCCAACATCTTTGGAAAAGTAAAATGAACCAAACTCTCCGAAAGCCTAATAAATTTAGCAAAATAGTATTTACCGCAGGGTCTTGCAGATTTCATTGCTTGATAAAATAGCAGGACCCTTGTCTGTATTTGTAGCCCTCCTGTTCAGAAAGTGGTGATTTCTAAGAATATTAGCAGACGTAGGGGAAATAAAAACGTAAAGAACTATAATTTTTCATGCTCCTCAACTGTTATGTAACTCCAATAGCAATTACAAAAGTGGGGAGATTATCCTCTAAATTATTTTATTTTGTGCAGACAAATGAAATAGTTTTAATTAAAATCAGATAGCTCTTTACCTGAGCATTGCTAAATGAACTGACTATCAATGTGCCAATTACCTCTGCTTGTCAGGGCCCGAAATGACATTTTTCTCTTAAGCCACAGGACTTCTATAAACCTGTATGCTTTAAATTATTATCCTACTAACTAACTTCTAAATGTACTAACCAAAAAATGGACAAAACTCAAAACTAAAATTAGATTTTTAAAAGTGCTTTAAAAATGTAAGATGCAACTCTTCTAAATAAATCAGTAACTTACAGATTATTCCTTTTTCACTTTCACAATTTTTACGTTGCTGCCAGCAGTCTTCTCGGCATTTGCTTTGAATTCTGTCTTCAGTGCATCTCTCACTGCTTTTGCACAGATCTGGGAGTATCGGATGTAGCTGGGAGAAAATGAGAGACGATATAAGTTATGAATCAACAATTCAGCCAGATTGGTTGTGTTACTGTGTTTTGTTTTTCTTCCCATACTTGTTAATTTCAGTTTGATTGTACATTATTGCAGAACTGGATTTAAAAATGATGAATGCTAAAAGGATTCTACACAAAGAAAAAGAAGACTAGAAAGAAATGTACTAAAGTCTTAATTGGTGTTAGGGTGGGTGATCTTTGGTTTTCCTTCTTTGTACTGTTTTCTCTCTAATACATATTAATTTAAAATAAAAGATGCATAGATATTTAAAAAAAAAAAATCCCTCAGCACAGGAAAAGAAATAGACCAAAATGTTAACAGAGGCTATAACATGAATGATTTTTTTTCCATTTCTTTACTTAAAAAAATTTTTAAATTATATTATTCCTACAAGGTAAAATATATAATTAAAAGGGAAAAAACCCATTTTCAGTTAAAATAGTTCCTCTAATTATTTAAAGGCTTTCCTGAGAATATTGGATTCTGTTTCACAAGTCTGCCATGGAAAATACTTCCCAATCAAGCTTTCTAAATTAAAGTGAAAAGTCCTTAGAGCACATCATCAATTCTAGCAAAATATCTAGCAGCCTGCTTCCTGTTTGGTAGATGGACTCCCATCAACATCTTATTTTCCAAAAGATGTCAGCTCACTTTTTACACTTCGTGAAAACAGGAAGGTGGGAGGGTGCTGCTGTCTATTTTTCTATGTTTCAGATTTTTTTTTTTTTTTTGGCCAAGAGGTAGGAGTTCCACTGCTTGCACTCTTACTGACTGGGTGACCTTCAGGCTGTTCTATCTTTTTGGCTAGTTGATTCACCTGCAGAAACAGCAGAATAAATAGAAGAATAATAACACTTGCTCCACAGGGTCGTTGGGAGGAGGAGAGACAAAGTATGAAAAGCACGGAGCACCACACCAGTCACATAGTAGGTGCTTAATAAATGGTATCTGTTACTGGGACTATCATCCTTCCAATTCTACAAACCTGTGCTTGACCTTACAAGTCAGGAAACTCTTGGGTTGCTCAGCTGCCCCACAGTCATATACCCCCAGAATGTCACCGCCAGAAGGTGCTACTTTATCTAGTCAAGTCACAAGGTGTGTCACCTGGGGCGAGGCACGCCGCCCGCTCAACTAGGTGCACAGGCAAAGACATGAGGTGTGATAACCTGACCGACGGCTGCCCCTCTCCCTGGGCGCCGGCTCCTCAAATGGGTTCCATATTTGAGCTTCCCAAGAGCAACCACTCACCTCTGTGCAGCGCCCTCTACAGTTTACCAAGGGCTTTCACCCGTTTTAACGACAAGGAAACCTGAGAGCAAGAGGAGTTAAAGGGTAAAGTGAAAAAAAAAAAAGTGTGCCCCATCATAAAAGGCCCCACTTTGATGCTGGAAAGAAAGGCCACAGATGCTGACAGCGGTCACATGGAGAGCACTCTCTCCAGTACTCCTCGTTCCCGAGCTCTGTGTAGCTACATCGCGACTACATCACTGCTACAACAGAAACCGAGTGCAACTCGGCAGGACGAGGGCCCTGCACAGAACAGCCGCTGTCTCTGGGGACGCAGCGCACGCGCCAGGGGCTCGGCTGAACCCCGAAGAGCAGCAAAGGCAGGAGCACCGGCCCGTCGCACAGACAAGACGCGTGCACGCCCGAGGCTGTGACCCCGGCCCCGGCCTCCCCGTCCGCGGGCCGCCATCTTGGGGCCGCATTCGCCCGGCCCCCGACCCCCGCCGCGCTCCGCGTGACCTCCGACCCCGGCCCGCGCCGGGACCCCCGCGCCCTCCCTGCCCGCTCCCCCCGAGGCCCGGTCCTACCTGAGTCCAGCCTGTCGCCAGTAGGCCACCATGATGTCGCGAGAGTGGGCGCTTCGGGCCGAATCGCGAGAACGCGTCAATGTCGGCTCCGCGCGCGACCCAGTTGCAGGAAGGTCAGGCCTCAAAAGCGGAAGGGGCGGGGCTCCGGGCCTGCCAATCCCGCCGCCTTCTGCCCCGCCCCGCCCTCACGAGCAGCCCCTGCTGCCCCGCCGCGGAATCCCCCCCGGCGCCGGCAGCCAATGGGGGCGCGCGGCCTGGGCCGCGGGAGCCAATCCCCGGGCGGGCCGGGCGGCCGCGCCTGCCTATTGGCTCCGCGGGCGCCCCGAGTGTGTGCCCCGCGAGCTTCCGTAGTAGCCGGCCGAGCGGCCGGGGAAACAGGGGAGCTGGAGGGAACGCAGACCGCGTGGTGTCGGGAGTGCGAGTCGCGAAGCCGCGGCGGAGTCCGGTGTCGGGGTGCACCCTCACCCCGGGGTCCAGACCACGGCGGCGCCCCCGGGCTCATGGGGAGACGGCCGCGTCGGGACGTTGACATTGCGAACACTTGAGCATGTCCACCCCACGAGTTAGCGAACAAAGTGGACCTCGGCCGGCGAGCGCGACTCCCCGACATTTCCCGGGGTTTTAGGACCGCTCATGATGTGGGACGAGACGGGGCAAAACAGTTGGCCGGGAAGGAGTGGGAATAAAAATCGGAGGGAAAAGGGGCGGGAGGCGCCAGGCCGATCCCACAGCTGCTACGAAACCCCTCGGCTCCGCGCGCGCTGTAGGGAAGGGAAGAGCGCAGGGCCGGCTACAAGGAACAAAACTACTTTTGCTTTTCACACTTATTAAAAAAACTATAATCAGGAAAAACATCATAGTTAAAACGAATTTTTTATTAACAAAAAAGTTTTTCTTAATTCACGTAAGATGCATTTTTAATATTAAATAGGATAAGATGCTCCACAGTTCAAGAGTCTAATCTACGAACGCTATTCCAGTTTAGTCCTCTCAAATGCATTTGCTTGCTGTGTGTTTATATTTTAACAGGTAAAAGCCCAAACTACCAGCTATTAAAACTAACTATATTGGAAAATGAAAATTTACTGAATTTTTCCATTAGATCAGTTAAAAAAATCAAACAAGATAAAAACTTGTTAGAAATCTTTTCATCATTAGGGCACTACATCTTTTTGAGAACAAGCATAATTTACAGAAATTATACATGGCAACTTTTTATCAAATTCAATATTTAGCAATGTTTTGTTTAGCTGAAATGTTATTTCAGTTGTAAAAAGCCATCTCTGGTTACAAAAAGTAATCAAAACCTTAGTGGATTTAACTTGTTTTTACAAATGCCCTAAGAAGTCTTAAGCTAAACAGTATTTCAAGTAGAAAAACACTAATTTTTAAATAGTTTGGTATACTATTTCTGTGGTTTATGTACATATATTACCTGGTTTCTCTTATAGGAAACCTGATGAGAAGTTTATCACACGAAGCATTGTAAAATAAAGGCAAGAGCTCATCACCTTTTAACAAAAATACTCGGTATGCAACAACCGCAGGTATCAAAGATATGATTTACTGGGTGGTAACTGCCTGCTACAAAATAGGAAACAAAATACATTTCCCGGATTGTTTTTGAGACTGCAGCTGCCTTTTGGAGTCTAAAATAAGGATTTCCCATAAATAACAGCTGCAAAGCAGTTCACGTGGTGGTTGGTCTAGGGCAATGCTTGTGTTCTCCTCATTATTCTTGTTTTCTCCCCCACCACGGCCCCCACTCCCGCAGCGGCACATCATTAAAAACATTAAGTACCTGGGATTTATGCTTCAGATCAAGACGTCATTTGAGTAATTTCAAATGATGTACAGCTCTTCATGTAAAAAAGATGTTTTGTGGTCACAATTACTTCAAAAACTAATTATATTCAAATAACCTGACATATCATGCTTTAGCAATTACAGAACCATGATTTTGACACATGGCAATTTATAAGTTAGGCAAATGTGAAATGCTAAAAGATGTGAACAGCTGTTCTTCTGTTTAAGTTTAGAATGCTGCAAAATTCCGGTAATGACTTTATTTTTTCAGTTAATATAACCAACCCACGGTACAGCATACTAAGTCATAAAGTACAAATCCAAGGAAGGTAATACCTTTACTAAGTTATAAAACTTTGGCAAATCAATACAGTACTCTTTGATACAATAAAATCATATTTTTGTTGAAGTCATACATTAGTGATAATTTTCACTCCAAAAATGTCATTTAAGTACCAAATTAAAACACTGGTTTTTAATGGTGGTTTATAGCAGAGCAAGTTATTTTATACAAATTAATGTCTTTTAAAACTATACAATCTCTTCTTTTAAAAAAGTGAGTTCCTCATGCAAGCTCCTGAAGTTTCCCGCAGCAGGGCAACTGTGTGTATTTAAGAGGAGGCTCTGCTTTGTTCTGGGGTTGGTCCAAAGCCAGGTAGAGTTCCAATGCATGAAAAGCTTTAAAATTCTACCTTAAGGAGATTTAAAATGCCAAAACCTATTACCAAGTACTTTTCAAAAACTTAAATTTTCACATAAATACTGGAATCCTCAAAATTAGACGGTCATTTCAAACAACACTAATTTCAGATGATCCCTTTTATTTAGAAAACCTGTACCTCTTTGTTTTGATCACAAGTCACATAGCCTTTTTCTAGCTTATTAAAAAAAATTCTACCTAAAATATTGTTGTATTTTTTAAATAACAAATAAATATCTTGTCAGCTTGCAGAGACCTGGGGGACTGAGGGTCGTATATCAGCTTTCATCATCATTTCTCTACAAATGCTGCTGCTGCCATTGGTGTCCTGATGCTCCCTCTTGCTGAAGCTGTCAATTCTTCAATCTCAGCATTTAACTTACGTATTACCCATTCCATTGCTTCTCGGCCCTTAAAAAAAACCCAATACATTTACTATTATCGAGTGACAGCAAAAGCACATATCGAAAGGCACATCAAGAAGTAACAAGGAATGTTACAAGTATAACTAAACCCCACCAGGACGGATCGCTTTTGTCCTTGCTCTTTCTTCTTTAATGTTATTTACCAAATACCAAATGCCTTTAGCATCTGGCTTGATCTATAAACTGATTTTTATTTTGTATGCAAAAGATGACCTCAAAAGAACCTACAATTAAATGACAGTGATGTTTTACTTATTTCATGATTAGAGTGGTCCCCTTTTTGGGGGTAAGGTCAAACCCCTTTTTCCTTTTCATGTCCATATTTTAAACCAAAACCCTGTACAAGGAAGGCCCTGAAAGATCTGCTCCCTGACTTCCTCTTCAACCACTCTCTCCTGGGGCTCTATTGGTGCTCTATGCAGTTCCTCGAGGAAAAGGAAGAGGAGCATTTCAGGCTTCCTGTCTCAGGGCTTTGCACATGCAGCTCCTCTGCCTGGAATGCTTCCTAGCACACCCCTCACAACCAACCCGCCCCTCATTCAGCACTCGGAGAAACATCACTTACTGAACACTCAGTAAGCACTCTCATACCTTTCTGTATTTTTCCTTTCCTAATGCCGTGTTGTGTGATTACTGTCGCCTTCCTCTTAGTTCCACGAGGGCAGGGACCACGTTTGTGTTGTTCCCCGCTGTATCCCCAGTCTAGCCTAGCACTCTGCCTGGCACAGAGAAGGCATCTATGAATATCTTTTGACTGTTGAATGATTCAGCATGTGTTATAAAACAGTGCATTAAGCATCTCTTTCTCTAAACTTACTTGTTTTAAATCATGCAGGGTGGGGTGGAAAAAATCTCTTTTTATGTATAAAGCACAGACTCTCTCTCTCAAATGGATCTAGGGGTGAGGGGGAGAGGATAATGAAAAAAGGTTGAGAATCAGTGCTTTAAATTAACGACACAGGGCTACACATCACTGAGCACTTCCCACGTGCTAGGCCCTGGGCCACATGCTTTCCACTTGTTATCTCATTTACTCTTCATGCCCAGCCCTGTAAAATGGGTAATTTTCATCTCCACTTCACAGAGGGGAAACTAACGCACAGAGGGGTTAAGGTAAGCGCCCGAGGTTGAAAGGCTGGGAAGGGTCCGACTTGGCGGTGACCCAGGTGTGCCGGGCCAGTGCCTACACAGCTACCTGCCCGTGTGGGTACTCAGTGCACGGTAGTCGAGAGGCGGCTTGTGAAGACAGACATACGTTCAGTGCTGAGCTCTTCCGGGAAATGAAACCCAGGAAGAATAGCAATCGGGGAGCAGCCTTACTTACTTTATTAGCATTTGAAGATATCGTACTTGCCATCAGTCCTTCAAGGTAACTGCTGAGGCTGACGCCCTTCACAGTGATTATGGCTTCTTGAGTCAAAACTGTCCTGGATCAAAACACATTCACACAGCTTCAAAATGACCTCTCAGTTTTTAGAGAAGTATTTAATAAAAAAATTAAAACATGCTGTAAACTAACTTTGTTAAAACCTTTTTACTCACTTTTCTGGGTCCTGAGGATGTGGTTTGTATACAAGTCTCTCGTCTACTGAAACCATATTTGTAAATGAAATCTATAGAATAATAATTTAAAAAAGTCAAATCATTTTGGAAACCAGATTTCCAAAATAAATTCACAAACCAAAATCTTGCTAGCTAAACATACAAAACAACAATAAACCACTTTGATATTACTATGTAAATAGAACTTAAATTCCACTATTGAAAATTTCACTTTTTATTAAAAAAATGATAAATTTGACAAAAGTATTGTAATAGTATAATATGCACATGATCCCACATTCACTTCATTGAGTGCTGTCCCCCAGAAACGAGAGGCAGGCTCAGCTGCAAACAGACGACACAGCTCTAAGTACTGATTTCCTCAACCACAGGGAAGGGCATAGACTCATCTGTACATCAACCACGAAAGAGACAAGAAATTAAGCCAAAGAGTTTACAATTAAAACAAAAGGGAGCCAAAACTTACATTAGTAGATTTAAGTTCCATTGTTTTTTCTACAGGATCAACTACAGAATGTTCTTGCACATATGTTTTGGTTCTTGCTGCACCAATAAGCTAAGTAAAACATTCAGAATTAGTAATCAGAGGAGTAAGGATTTCTTAACAAGTGTATCAATATTTTATTTGAAGGTAAAAATGTGTTAATATCTTGAACCCAAAATCTGTTTCATAAAATACATGAGGAATCAGACAAAGGTCAGAAAGGAGGGTAACAGGAATTCACACATCATGGATGAGACTGCCAGACACAAAAAAGACTTCCCAGAGCAATCAGCAACCAGCCCAGTGAGAATGCATGCAATATAAGGCAGGATGCTGAACTGCCAAGGGGCGATGGAGCAGTGAGCCTGAACACGGAAATCAGAATATCTGGGGAAACACGGCATCGAGAAAAAGGAGAGCTCACAAGTACCTAGAGCAGTCCAAGGGAGAGGGTGCCGTGGCTTCATTTTCCAGACAGAAAAGCAGCCATCTCATGATGGAGAATAATACATCACATCCAGGATCACTCCCTCTGCTCCGACCCCAAGCCAATCCCCTGATCTTGCTCATTTCTGTGTCCCCACTATCCAATGTAATGGTTTGTACAAAGGAAGCAATCAGCAGGTTTCTGCCGAAAAATGTCCACTTTAGTTTTCTGAGTGAACCTACCTCCTAGAAAGAGAACCTCTACAGAAAACTGGGTCCACTTATCACACCAGAGTTTTCTCACAGTATGATAACCTGGCATTCCAGTTTCTTGCTGGTTAAATTGTCTCACTAAAGCCTGCTGATTTGTAACTGAACAGCATTACGTTTTTAAATGTATGAGGAGTACCAGACCTTGGAACAAATGTGGCGAAAGCAAAGCCTGAGAATACACTCCTCACTTAATGTGCACGACCCACCACTGACTACAGCAACTGTCAGCTGACAATCACCACCAGACCATCACTTCCCAATCTTACTACTGGTTCCAGTTGCTGGCAAAAGTACGAAAAGCAGAATATAACTCCTCTTAGATTAGAGCATTAGCTGGCTTCCTTCAGAAGGTTTTATCGGGTGCCTTCATGAAGACTGTAATAATATTTCCAATTCATTATACACTCATAACTCAAGTTTATTATAATACAATTTGAACTGATGCAAAAATGACATTCAGAATTGGCTCCCACAACCTATTTGAAATTATAATGTGGTTTAGAAAACTTCTCTACAGCAGTCACATTTCTACAGGAATAAAGACACACTTACAGATTTCACAATGGAAGGCAGTCCCCACTCTGTGCTGAGAAGTCTATGGCTGTGCAGCTTTCCAGAGGGATCTATATGTCTGTCCAATACATCAACTCCAACCACACTTGGGTTCATAGGGTTTGGGTATTTCTGCATTGCAGCTGTTGTAACTGTTTCCCATGGGTGGCTGCCAATATGAACCAAAAATCAAACGTTTAAAAATATGCATATAAATTAAGCCATTTCTATAACCCATCAAATTATTCTTTACAATTGAAGTTTAATTAATTTACCTAGGGAAAATGATTTTCTGAAACTGACTGAAAGATGACTTTGGGGGATCAATCTATATATTTTTTTTAACTGTATATTATGGGTTTATTTTATTTATTTATTATTTTTGTGTGTGAGGAAGATCAGCCCTGAGCTAACATCCGTGCTAATCCTCCTCTTTTTGCTGAGGAAGACCGGCTCTGAGCTTGTCAGAGCCTTCTCCTTTTTATTGCCAATCCTCCTCCTTTTCCTCCCCAAAGCCCCAGTAGATAGTTGTATGTCATAGTTGCACATCCTTCGAGTTGCTGTATGTGGGACGCGGCCTCAGCATGGCCGGAAAAGCGGTGTGTTGGTGCGCACCCGGGATCCGAACCCGGGCCGCCAGCAGCGGAGTGCGCACACTTAACCGCTAAGCCACGGGGCCGGCCCTCAATCTACATTTTGAATATGCATACACTTCAGTATTTTTTCAGCACACAGGCTATATGGTACAATTGATGTCTATGAAGATTAAAATAGACTACGGAGCATTACAGTACAGTTTCTTAAGCAATCTTTGCTATTTACCTGTGTTCACTTTAACTGTACATTTTGTTTCTAAGAACCACTGATTCATAAAAATGTATTTAAAAATTATGTTCTAAAGAAACAAGCAGCAAAAATTGTTATTACTTTACCATTTATTCTTTTGTCTGACTCCAAGTCTAAGAAGCTATAAAGAAGTAACGAGCCAAAAAACTTATAGGCACCAGTGAATTCTTATAGGCATTACAAAAAGATCCAAAGCATTATTGATTTAAATACTGTAATATTAAAAACGTATTTTTATCTATATTAGAGTAATAAGAAACTCTGGCTGCTCCAGTCAATCTTAATCCATTGCTTTCCTCAAAGGAGTGATTCTGATTTCTATTTTGAAAAAGTCACTCAATACAATGTTTTTAAGGCACTCCTAAAATCCTATTCTCTAATATTCTCTCTTAATATAATAAGCATTTGCTTATCATCTAGGATTCAAACGGTAACAATATGATGGAACTTGCAGCACCTTTATCTTCTTGAAAAAGCACATGTGCTTGGGTGATTCAAAACATGATGTACATTTGTTCACTTCACAAGTTATGTGAATAAGATGTTTGTACAAAGACACTCTTTTCAAAAGAGCTCCTTATTAACTATAATGAGTATTAAAGGTGACAGTCCACCTGCAATCTGATTCTAGACTATCCATCTGTGATCCTGTCTTCATTGAAAGGAAAAAGACAAGATCTGGAAATGACGTTTCAAACCACATTTGCTGATAGAACACACAGTATTACTTTTTATTTTTCTAAAAGCAAAACAGGTAGGCATTAATCTATTTCAACTTTTCAGAGAACTAAGCCTGATAAATACTTCTTGTTGACAGAAAGAAAATCTCAACACCATTCATTTCCCAGAACCCAGGACAACCAGTGACATTATTTTTAATGTTTTCATTTTTGCTATATTATTATATAAATGAACCTCATTCTGTTTTTAATCTCAGGCCTTATTCAGCAATCAATGCAGGTATATAAGCTGAGCTACTTCATAACTATAAACAGTCCCCACAAATAGAAGTGATACAGGCCGAGCACTCTTGATTATTACCAAGGCAACTATCTAAAATGAAAATCAGATGAACCCTTTCCCTGCCTCCATCTAGTCATACACCATGGTTAGCTGGCTTCCTTGCACTTATCTCTTCTCCCATCCCCTCTAAAAAATTAATAATTACGTGGCTTCAGGATGGTTACACATTATTTGTAATTTAGTTCTTCTCTCCTCTCTGAGCCAACTTGAAAACATCGATGTTGACTTAGCTTGGACTAAGACAGCTTTATGAAACATAACCAGCTCAACTGCTACAAAGGATGCATATTATGATTAACAGTGTTCCAGCAATTAGTTTTAACTTTATCAATGTAATTGTGTGAAAACACCTCACACTGGGAGACACTCAAAGATGGCACCAGAAGGGCAGTCATGAGAACCTGGTGGCTTACTGACCTGTCCAATTTCTTCACCTATAAAACGAGGTGTAGGACACTGTTAACTCCACGGAGGCAGCAACAATGTCTTGACTTATTTACCAAAGTGTAAAGAATCCCAAGAACAGTGCCTGGCACATAGTGGGCGTTCACATTTGTTGAAGGAATCAATGAATGACTTCAACTGGATGCCAACTTTATGCTAGGCCTCAGAAGGAAGTACTGGAAAATCAAAGATGGGTAAGACACAGAATGACAACTTAGATGTTGTTAGAAAGCAACAACTTCAGATGGGAAACACAGGGAAACAGTACGATTTGTGAGAATAAATGACGACTTAAATTTCAGGTATGCTGAGTTTGAAGATCCTGTGGGGCATGTGAGCAGAGATGTCTGGTAAGACCTGAAAATAAGAATTTGAAGTTCGGGGGCCAGCCCCATAGTGTAGTGGTTAAGTTCAGGCTCTCTGCTTCGGTGGCCCAGGGTTCGCAGGTTCAGATCCTGGGACATATGTACCACTTGTCAAGTCATGCTGTGGCGGCGGCCCATAAATGAAATAGAGGAAGATGGGCACAGATGTTAGCTCAGAACCAATCTTCCTCTGCAAAACGAGGAGGACTGGCAACATATGCTAGTTCAGGGCCGATCTTCTTCACAAAAAAAACAAAAAACAAGAAAAGAATTTGAAGTTCAAGAGAAGGTGGAGCCCAAGGTACAGATTTGGGTGCCACCAATGTTTACATATCAGCTGGGAGCTTGATGGAAAAGCCCAGATTATCTGAGGAGAATCAGGATCAGGGCTTCTTCTCCCAGAACATGTACAGCATTTATTTAAATATGTCTATCTTCCGGGAGGAGGGTCCCAGAGCTTTCATCAAATCTGAGAGGTCTGTGATGAAGAGAAAAAAGAAAGATTAGGAATCATTGACAAAATGCAAGACAAGAAGGCCAACAATAGAATCTCATGGAACATTTTCACTGAAGGGGAAAAAGAGGGAAACGTTGAAGAAAGGGGCAGAAAGAGAGGAGAGGGAAGAAGGGGACAAGCCAGAGAGAAGAAAGTTCTAAGGAGACGGTGCCAAGGAGACCTGTTGAAGTATTGAAAGCTGGAAGAGGACTGCAAGGAAGAAACCATCCACTACCCCAAGGGCTGAAATGGAGTAGTGAAGAATGTGACCGCGTTCAAGAACATCAGAAAGACGACAAAGTTAGGGTCTTTTTCTCCAGAAAGATGGTAAACATTAGGGAGAAAAGAAACCTTCCTTCTGATTCTAATGTTCTATACTTTCCAGAATCCAGTGGACTCGGATGTGTCTGATTCACTGAGTATGTAAAAAGTTTACAGCTTCTTTTAAAATTGCTCTTGGAAACACTTAAAAAAATCAAATGGTTAAACCAAAACATACTACAAAGCTATAAAAATTAAAGCAGTGTGGCAACAATAGCAAGATAAGTGGAATAACCAGATAGCTCTGAAATGGATTCAAATATACATCACGATAGTGTTTAGGACAAAGGTGGCACTTCAAACCAGGGAGAGGAAGATGGATTAGTCAATAAAGAGTGCTGGGGTAACTGATTAACTCTCTAGGCAAAACAGATACAGCTGCTTATACGTATGGTTCTCTTTCATGTGGAATCACAGAACCAGAAGAGAACTGAATTCCCAACATCCAATTGGTGTCAGGCCTATTTTCGTTAGTAAAAAGTTCTCGCTAACAAGAGATGTCACTGAAAGTGGCCTCAAAGACATCTTAGAGCGGCAGGCCCTGCCGATACCATCCTCTTCCATGGCTCAGATGAAAATGGGTGACCCAAGGTCACACGGCTTGTTGGAGCCGGAGCCGGACCTTGGACTCTAATGCCAAGGCTCCGTTCCTAACGTCAACGAGCTGCCGGGACGGTTTCGCCTCCGGGTCGCCTGAGCGCACCAGAAATTCACGTTCGAGGTAAGCAGCTCCACCCAAACGCTGGCTGGGCGACTGACTCTCGCCAAAGCCTACGCCTTCTTCTCGGGATCCTGGGTTCCAGTTCCCCGAGGGTTCTGCAAGGCCGGATGAGGCAGCGAGGGGCCTCTCACACCCCGAGAGCTGTCGAGGACCTCGTGCCCCGCGACGCCCCACCGCCCAGGGGGCTCCCCGGGGGCAGGCCGCCGGTGCCCGTCTCTGGCCCCCTCCCGGCGGGGCGGCGGCTGGGCCTGGGGGTCCGGGGCCCTCTCCCCTGGGGCCCTTTCCCGGGGCGCAGGGCGGCCCGGGCGGCCCCGGCCCCGTGGGACTCAGGCCCAGCTCTCCCCACTAGGCCCGGCGCCTGGAAGCTTCCTGAGGGGCGCCCCGGCCTCGCCGCGACTCCAGCCCCGCCCCGCCCTCCCACCGCGCAGCTACCGCGTCCCCGCCGACCCGTCCCACGCCCCAAACTTACTCAAAGACGTGCTCCGAAGTCCAGATCTTCATGCTGCCGGCGACCTGCGCGATGTCCGGGCGTCGCTAGGGGACAATGAGGCAAAGAGGCCTCACTTGCCCCCGCCCCGCCCCCCAGCCGCCCCGCCGGCCGCGCAACGCGCACGCGCCGTCGGGCCCGACGCGAGGGACGTCCCGACGCGCTGCCCCACGCCCTATCCCGGGCCGGGTTTTGCCCCAGCCTTGCGCGCGGCGCAACGAAACCCCGCCCCTTAGCGCCCGGCGCATCGCGCCGGCGCAGTTCCGGGGGCCGTGCTCAGGGCCGCCGGGGAGGGCGCTGTGATGCGCAGGCGCGGCAAGCGCCGGGCGGCCCGCCCCCTCGCGGGCGTCGCCGGGAGCGCTGACCTCTGGGCAGAGTTGGGCCAGGCCCAGCCGGTTCCTGGGCGCAGCGGTTTGGCGCCTCTCGTGCTCTCGGTCCGCGTGGGCCCTGCGCGCCTTGCAATGCGGCACCTGTTGAGGGGTCCACTCAGCCGCTTACACGGATAGTCCTTGTGCTTTTCACTTGAGCAAATGTTCATGGCACCGAGTTAGAAAATTCCTCCCTCTTCCTGCGGCAACCCAAACTGTGGAGGCTCCAAAGTCGTCCAGTCCAGCAACAGGCCGCCTCCTGTCTCAACCGAGACTATGGAGGCTAAAAAGTCATCCTGCCAGCCAACCAGCTAACCAACCAACCATTCCAGAGATTATGACCCTAGATGGGGAGAAGACATATAGACATGGAGAAACTAACATCAGACAGTGTGATCAATGCCCAAATGAAGTGTAGTTAGGAAGCATGGGTGCTATGTGGAACAGATGGAAAAGCTTCATGGCCCTGGGTTTATAGCATGGGTCCTAGCTCAGATGTCACTCTTCAGAGAGGTCTTCCTTCATCACCATTCCTCAGCAGATCCTCCAACCCCTAGTACCTCCATCACAACCTCCTGTGGCATTTTTCTTAGCACTTACTCTCTGAGATCATCTTGTTTATTTAACTTCCACCTGAATGTGAGCCCTTGAAGGCAAGGATATTGCCTGTCTTGCTCAATAACAATTCTCAGTGCCTCGTCTATAGTAAAGGGTCAATGATTTTTTATTGAAAAATGAAATAATAATTATTTGTGGAATGAATGAATTACTGAAATCATCTAGTAACTGTTTAACTTCCACTGAACTGTAAGCCTCTGAGGGTGAGGTTCTTGCCAGACTTGTTCAATGATTCCTCTGGTACCTACATAATAATTATTTGTTGCATAAATGAATGAATGACTAAGAAGTGAGGAGGCAAGAAGGAATGGCATGTGGTTTCATCCACAGCTGAACATTGTCCAGTGGACAGATTGCCCGGCCTAGCTTTCAGGATGAGTCCTCCCTCCACTTCAGAACAATTTGCCATTTTAAATAATGGCTGTGGAGGAAAATCTTTATATCTGGTCACTTAGAAGCTAGTTAGAAGCACCAACTTATTCTTGTTCTTAGCTCATTAGATTGTTGAAAACAAATAAAAGCCAGGTTAATTTAGGAGGGAGGATAATTTTTTAAAATAGCCAAAGTCCTTTATATAGAAAAATTACATTAGATAGAAAGGAAATAATATGGTTGGGTAGTTGCTAAGTGCAATTTATGGCACCTAGGACTTTTTTAAAAAAACAAACCTACAGTACTTAGAGTGAATTCTCAGGGAGGTAATGCTCTAAGGGCTACTGAGACTGTGCCTCAGCCTTGATTAAGATGCGAAGTTAATGTTACTGAATGTTAAAAACACTGGTTCAGGAACCATCAGCACAGAACAGCCTGTCCCTGCTATTCCTGGAGTTCTGTGAAGCTGTTCACCATCCAGGATTCCACTTCTGTTTATTTTAGAGAATGTTATTCTGCCCCCTAGTTCAAGATTTCTGTTTTTTAAAATTGTGAAAATTAAATGACATCTATCCGCTACCCATACCTTATTAGTCTGTTGATTTTACTTACTACATCTGGAGTGATGGGGATGGGGGCATGGAAGGTTGGAGATCTAGGACCCAAGTATCTTTTCTGTGTGTGTCTCCAAGGTGGAAATAATATCACCTTATAGTTGGATTTGGAAAGCAAGACCTTTATATGTATTGTCTCGTGGAGACTCACTTAGAAACACACAGAGGAAACAAATTAGTGATTTTTAGATACCTAAGCATTGTATCCCTGAGTGTGCCTCTCACAGAAACAGGCAAGTCATTAGCAGGTCACTAATCTGACTAGCAATTAAGTAGGTGACTGGTTCTTGTGGCACTTGCCCCAGTGATGACACACAATCCCCAGATCCCCACCTTCCCTGTGCCTGGGGGAGGGAAGAATGCGGATCTGATTACTACCAGCAGGGAACTTCACATCTGGCTGAGGAACCAAAACAGAAGTCAAGAAATAACTAGAAGATATTTAAAGCAAGGGTTAGGTGTTCAGAGGAGAGAGACCCATGACTGTGAACTGCAGCCCCTTTGGGCGGGCTTCATGGAAGATGGTGGGAGGAGCAGAGGAGGATTTGGCTGAAAGGCAGGATCAGGGGTTGGTATGGGAAGAGGCAGTGTAGTGGCCCACATGAGCGGGGCCCAGAGACAGACCAGACAGGAGAAGCGATGAATTCACGGGCTCCAACTTCAGTTGGGCCCCTACTCCTTTTATTTCCCAGCTTCCGTCATTCACATACTGTCTTCACAATTTGCCTATTTAACCTGTTCCATCATTATTTCATTTTTTTATATCAGCTTCTTTACAAATACATTTTAAATGAAACTTTATATAACTACTGTCAATAGAAAATCGTTTTTTTTTTTTTGATACACACTAAATACGTAACTATTAATATAAAACAGTAGGCCTGTGGACTCCCTTCTCTTTCATATATTCCAGCAGTGGGCATGTCTCACTTTGAGGTTGATTTCCAAGATTTCTAGCTGCTCTTTTGACTCTTTTCCATTCTCTTCAAACTCCAAACCCATCTTTTCCTCTGAACTTCTCAGCAATAACCTTTGTCTCTGAATTCACTGTGAACTTCAACTTTCCTTCCTTCCTCTTCAAAATGTCTTGTGTTCTCATCAATCCTCTCTGTATTTCTTCTGGACTCAGAGAACATATTCTTTCTCCTTTCTGATCTTTTTTGCCTTTGCTCTCTTCATTTATTCATTCAACAAATAGCCACAGATCATCTATTCTAGGCCATCCCTCTGCTCATGGAGCTTATACTACATCAGTGGCTCTCAACCAGGGGCGACTTCCTCCAGGGGCCGTTGGGCAATGTCTGGAGACCTTTTTAGTTGTCACATCTAGGGACGGGGTGCTACTGGCATCTAGTGGGTAGAGGCCAGGCATGCTGCTAAACATCCTACGACACACAGAACAGAGACAGTCCCCCCACAACAAAGAAGTACTTGGCCCCAAATGTCACTAGCATCGCTGTTTAGAAACCTGGGGCTGTAGCTAACAGGTTCTTGTAATCTGGCCCAGTCTACCTGTCTAGCCTCTATCTTTTGTCTTCCCATCAAGCAACTCGACTGAACACTACAGCTAGATCCATTACTCGCTGTCCCTCAACAACTACACGTTTCCACACCCTTGAACTTTGTACATGGCGTTCTCTGCCCAGAGTGCTTCTTCCCCTTATTTGCCCTGAAGAGTCTTACTCACGTCTCGAGACTGTGCAAATACTCCACTCCCCCTGAGTGCCTCACTGATATGCCTCTCCCCCAGCTCAGAACGATGCTTTGTTCCTGCCTCTGTGCTTCTTTTGGCATTTATATAGACCTTGTAATCGTAGTGTATGTGTGTGTATGTGTGTGTCCACAACTGCAGTTTAAAGTATAAAATGGTGACTTCTGTCTTATTCCATTCAGGCTGCTATAACAAAATACCACAGACTGGGTGGCTTATAAACAACAGAAATTTATTTCTCACAGTTCCAGAGGCTGGAAGTCTTAAGATTGGGATGCCAGAATGGTCAGATGTGGGTCCTCTTCTGGGTTGCTGACTTCTCATTGTGTCCTCATGTGGTAGAAGGGGGATAGAGAGCTCTCTCAGGCCTTTTTTATAGGAGCATTAATCTCATTCATTTGGGGACCTCCCAAAGGCCCCATCTCCTAATACCATCACATTGGGCATTAGGATTTCAACATATGACTTTTGAGGGGACACAAACATTCAGATGATAGCCACAACCTCTGTGTTAGAGGGATGGGGGGGTTCCTTATCTAACTCTTCATTTTTTGAGCCGTTGCTGTAAGGTGGCTACACAGGGAAGCAAGACTCATCAAAACATGAAAATATTCACTACTGAACCAAATACTTGTAAACTTGGTGTGCATTGAAAACACTAGTCTAGACCCTCATCTGTCGAGCCCACGTGTTTTCTGGCTAGTCTCTCACTGGTTGTCCATGGCTAAAAATGTACCCTAAGTGGTTGGAAAGTGAAACAGAAACTCTTGGAAAAGATGCAGGGTTTCATCAGGTTGAGGAGGGTGCTGCTCAAGACCTCCTCCATCAGACGTTGAAGCACCAGTAGACGACTTCACGTGGAATGAAGGCAGTTAGCAACTGAGAAGAGAAGATTGACAAGCGATGGTTTCCAAAGAAAAAGCATGTCGGAAGGCAATGATTTGAACAGCTAAGGATTGGGAGAAACCCGTGGGAAAACTAATCAAATCCTTGAATATTTATGCAAAGATCTCCATCACTATGATTGGGCTGTGAAATTCAAACATATTGTGTAGTGCTTTTTGCAGTTTGGTGGGGAAAATTATGGTAAAAACTAGCACTTGATTCATTCTATGTAACCAGTATTTGCATAGAGTTGCAATTTTAAGTTATGTTTTTGTGTGTGTATATATATCTCATAATATATATAAATAAATATATGTATATGTATCACTTCATACATGAATATGTATATATGTGCGTGTGTGTATATAAACTTACTATCATCAATTTAATTTCATTTTTCAGGATAAACTCTCAGCCACACTTTTGTTTTTCATTATTTACTGTGAAATTTTGGTGTTGGTTTTAAGTGGGTTCGGTGGGGCTTACTGGGCACCAATTTTACACTAAAAATGAGAGTTTTCTTAAACCCCAAGAACTGGGACTCCATAGGAAGATCAGTTAGGAGAACTATGTAATAAGGACTTAAGGTGAGGAACAGCAAGAGCAGAGATGAAGGAGGGCAGGGGGATGCTGGAGACACTTTTAGGAAGCCCTACTAGCGGAGTC